TTTTTTTTTCAAAAAAAAATAATTAAAATCTCAGACCGTGAAAATACTCATCATCGCTGGACGATTTCAATTTTTTCCCAACGCACAATAATACGAATATAATCGAATATCACGATAGCGAAACAGAGGGACGGACTATTTTCATTCTGTCGTATGCATAAAATGCTTTTAAAGCTTGGTCGTTTGATCTATTTTAACCATACCATTGTGTTCATCAACTCGCGTTGTAATATTTAATAGTTCTAACATGCATAACTATTGTGTAATAAACTCAACAGTAGAATAATGAAATATAATATATACATTTTACTCTAACTAATAATAGATTAAACATTTGGAATGGATTTTAATACGTCCACTTCGTCTTGATATAGGTACTCGTAAAATGTATTGCTCCATTTTATCCCTCCTTCTCTTTCTCTCTATTTCTTCGCAAGATACTGTTATTATTCTGACCGTGGAAAATAATCATTTCGCAGTAATCTCTATACACTCGACCATGTGTAAGAGTATAAATAGCCGATACGCGTATGTGTGTACCTACCATTCCGTTCCTCGTTATCCTCTTCACCCTGTACTTTACTCTACCGTCCACCTCCGACAACCATCGCACTCTCTTATCGCGCCCTCCATCAAAATCGTAAACGATCGTAAAAAAATCGACTGACGACACATTCTGCAAACAGTAAGTTTAACCCCGCTCATTTCCACTCACGAATGGGTCGCGGAACAACATAACATCATTATTTTACGACAACAGTTATTGAAAGACTACGCCGTCTTTAATCAACAATTTGTCCTTTGCAAAGTATTGCGAATCGAAAACCATGCTAAACGTGTACCTATGGTAACCTATTACAGCGTATTGCGTTAAACATCGCCGAACGTAATTGTCGAACAAAGCGTACATAAAAAAAAGTTATACTTGATTTTGCTGTAGCCGATCGTTTTTACAACAATCGTAATCTATTGTGTACGCACGTAAGACTAAAAAGAAACTATTCGCGATATTAAAGTGCAATAACTCCATTCTTCGGACATTAAATTTATGTATGTTTTTCAATCACGGTTCCGCGCGAAATGCCGTAATATTCGATTACGGATGAATGGCTAAAAATTGAATACGATTCATCTTTTCAAATAAAGCAGAACTCCATCATCAACTTATGAAGAATTTATGCTAGCAACGCGTCTTACACAAATACAATAGTATCATAATGTCCATAAGAATATTATTGATGAGATAAATCACAATTTATCGACTGCGAGTTTTGTACGATACCTAAACCAATCGGAATACTACATCAGTAGTACATCAATTTCAATAACGCAACCGTTAATAATAAAAACAATAACACTATTTCATTTGTTCACCACAAATATTGGTTGCTGTAAAAGATTGTCCGCCAATGCTTGGCCATAGTCGTCGGATATGAAGTAGTTTACATCTCAAAGCATTTCGTTCGCAGTACTGTGTCGGTGTTATTGGCACGTATATAACATTTAATATCCTGTTGAATAGAAATGTCCGATTAAACAAACGCTACTGGTATATTATTATTCCAAGGAGTATTGCGCACCAGTACGATACCAACTACATTTTATTGCTGTTCGACAGTTAGCGATAGGAAAAAAGTGGTTTCTCGTAGATGAAACGTTTCGCAATTGAATTTGGAATTAAAATTAAACGACGAATCGACATATCAATATATAATTGGCCACGCGTGGGTATTTAAAACCAATGGTTGTGTACATTTATTTAATTATAAATATGAGAAATATTGGTTCTGCCGGAGGTGGTATAATAAATACGTTGAAAATTCAAGATATTGTTCGATAATAGTTGACTAATAATAACCAACTGGAATAGTACTTAATACGGTCGAATTGAACCATGACGACGGTTTCTGATAATTTGATACATTTTATCACAACTGTTGAATATTAATTCCTAAAAAACTAATCTAGTTTTATTTGAATTATACAACACACACACGCGTCCGCGATGTCTCTTGATCCTAACTACTTATTTTGTTATAAATTGATCAACTCAATCTTCCTATTTATTATTTTCGTTACGTGCACATTTCTAAGTACCTATAGATATTTGCTTATAATATGTACCCACTGTAATAAGAAAATTGATGTAGATCTTTGAAGAGATTTCGCTCATATTTAGGGATCTACAAGAAATATTCTTCTCCGGTAGTACCTTATATGTGTAAATGTGTTGTTTTTAATATCATTTATATGACAAACTATAAAATATTGTTAATTTTACCGTTATTCGCCAATTATTTATAACAACGAACAATACATTTTAACACATCTTAGCCTCGAAACCCTTGAACATAGTCACTTGCGATTAGACATACACTTTTTGTATAAAATTCTCATTGGAAAATTTGACTATCCCGAAATTTTCAGTCTTTTTTTCCTTCCATACCTAAACTCGTAACAACCTATCTAAAAATACTTTTTATCTAAACATTGAAGTAACTAATTATGCAAGCAACACCACCTCAATGGTAGATGATTACTATAAATTATATATTATAAATCGATCTATTAATTTCATCAAACTTCAATTCATTTAAAATGTATTGTGCTCCCGTACTTATTAATTCATAGCTTTAAGTGTAATTAATACTATATTGTATTTCATACTCAATACATATTATTTCTCTTTTAAGTATTATTAACGAACACGATTTTTATTATAATTTACAGAATAATTATATACGAGTATACATCGAAATATCACTGGCATATGTCCGAAAAAATCACTTTTATAGCACGATGTATATGGTGAGAGTTACCCAATGTAATAATGTCAAGAACCAATACGGAATATTCCCTTCAAGTTATACAAATTAGATTATGACGATATTTATTCAATACAAGCTACTAAACGGAACTGATGTCAATGCGTGTTTTCGTGAACTTAGTTTTAAACTTTACTTCCTGTCCTACCACTAATCAGTACTAGAAATATCGTCCTATTTTATACTGCGCCTAGTAACAGTAATTTTGTTTTACAAGATACTTTCCCCCTCCCCCCCATTAAAATAATTTAAGACATAGCAATGAACATCGATACCGAATTTCAATTTTTTTTTTTTTCTATAATCATGGTGATCCTTCCGAGTTAAAACAATTGTTAAATATAATTTAGAATATTTTTCATATAAAATTGTCACACCGTTATTACGTTGCACCGTACTGCACTCGGAAATCTCTACCCTCGTTACTATTGATCATAAGTAAATAAATAGAAAAATCTAATTTCTAAAGTAATTCCTACACGCTTTTAGTTAGGCACGCCATGCGTATTGAACAATAACAGTAATAGGGGTGTATGCTATACGCATCTACCGCAGTAGAAGGCTCGGAAAATCGGATGTATTATGTAATCGTTACGCATCAATGCTGTACAAATATTTCCAATTAATGGCGAATACGGAACATCTACAATATTTGATACACCTATTACCTATTCGGTAGTATGCGTTTACAATAATTTTGTGTCAACATTTCAAAACCATTGACTAAATAATTATCTAGATGATTGTTCTCAGATAACCTATTTACCTATCTAGATAAGATAAAAATATTTTATTTGGATAATTTTTATACATAAGATTGTCTATGTAATACACAACGATAGAGTGCATTATGCATTAGGGTTTTAAGCGTACGCAAACTTATATTTCAGGGGATGCCAACAATATTGGTTGGTCTTATCTTAAAAAAAATTGTGTTGGTACATTTAATAAATTATTACGTATCTATTAATAATTTAATAATCATAACTAAAAGTATATAAAGTTGTTGTATATTAGTCCCAATGAATATATATTTCTTGGATCTCGTGTATTTTTCAAGGATAGCTTCAATTATTTATAATTTGTACTTTTGTAGTCATTACCAGCTGTTAAATGATCATAATAATACATTTTTCCATGAAAATTAAGAAAATATAGTTTTATTTTTCTATTACGTGACATCATTTATATTTTTCCTAATATTGTGGAATAAATTATATTTAATTGGGGAATCATCGGTTAAATATGGGCCCTTTACTAAAACTGAAGGTCCTCATTTACAAAATTTCGATAATTTCTCAGGTACATCCAGCACCTCCCAAGACACGCCCATGATTAGAGTTTTTCTCACTTTTAAACTACATTTATACGATAATAACGATTGTTTTCTAAACATGGTTTACTAACTTTGACATATATAATATTTGGTTCAGGAGACACACGAATAAAATAAGTTCGATGTTTGATACGCATCGTATCGCATCGTCACGAATAAACAATGTTTTGAATAATATTAAAGCTATGTGATTGACTGCCAGTGAAAAAGTGTAAGTATGAACTACTTCTAATAATAGTAGTTGGCAAAAAAAAATAAATAAATAATATATTTCATTTTAATTAACTATCGGTATAATGAGTTATCAAGCACGAGCGTTTTGATTGACGAGAAACGATGCGTGTATTTTCTTTTCCGATAGTAAACACCGTTTATTGTATTTCAAAATCATAGCGCTTGCTGTGATACGTTCACGGAAAAGTGATATGTGATGATGAATTTGATAACTTATAAGACCCGTGCGCGGACGTGTGATTTATGAATAATAATCGGACTGCATACGGATTAACGGTTTATTTATTGCAACGACACTGTTAGCTGTTGCTCCGATTGGCGGCAAGGTGAACCTTGGTTGGATTTTCAGCGCAGGACCGGCATAATTTTTCGAAAAGTGACCTGAAGCGAACCGCAGTCTTAAAGAAGTCGTAATCGCGTGCGTCTGTTGCGCGGGAACCGTTGGTGGACGCGTAATCACAAACCGTCGGAACGGCGTAAGTGAAGCGACCGTCGGGGCGGCCGCGGACGTGTTTGAACACGTTTCACGCGTGTATTGTATCGTACCCATATCCCTTTTACCGGCGAACCCCGTGAGTTAAGTAACTCGCGCTCGCGCGCCTACACTATCGTTGCCTACCTGCGTCGATGTCTACGCATTGGAGCGATCCTATGCCACCGCCGGTGTGCCCGCTGCTCGCTCCGTCCCTGTCGTTCGCGGCGAACGTGCTGCTGCCACCGCCGGGGTCCAGGGACGACGTATCGTCGTAGTCCGAGGACGTCTGCAACGGCGATTCCTTGATGACGCTCATTGGTGAACCACCGCCGAGGACCGAGCCACCGAGGACGGAGCCGCCGCCACCGCTGACCAGGATGCAGGGCGTGCGGAACGGCGGCACCGAGGTCACGGTCGACGGTACCGGGTTGTACGGCACGGCCCGCTCGTCCTTGAAGTTGGAGGGGTTTAGCTGCAGCTCTTGTTCGCGCTGTTCATCTTCCTGCCGAGCCCGGCGCTTGGCCGTCTGCTCCGCGCAATTTTTGCGCGTGGCCGCCGTCTTGGTGCACTTGGCGCACGTGCAGTCTCGGAACTTGCAATACCGCTTGTGCTTCTTCCACACCTTGCGCAGATCGTGGTTCTTGCAGTTGGTACACAGCCGCTGCTTCTCCTTGACCGCCGAGGTCACCACTTGCTGCTGCTGCTGCTGCTGCTGATGTCTGCTGGCCGGCATCCCGCGCGGCTTTCTCGTTCGTCCCGCTATCCGGCCACAGCCACCGGACCGCGGCCCGATCCGGCTGCCGAGTGGTGTTCGCGAACGCCGGCCACGCGATCCGGCCCGCTCGCAGCCGTCCGGCCGCCGCGCGTCGCCGATGACGGGTCGGTCTGCGTACAGCGTCGTCCGGGCGCGCGCGCGCGCGCGCTCGTTACACGGACGGTCGCGCAGCGGTCACGTCGCGACGTCGCGGTCGCTGAAGCACTGGCGGCGCTCGTGCACGGGACGGGAGGCGATGAAAACCGGTGGCCAACGCACTGTGTTACGCGGACGAAGAGAGCGACCGAGAACGAGAGAACAAGAGAACGAGAGAACGGGAGAGAGGAGAAAAATAAAAATAAAAAATTAAACGAATCCTTTATTTATATTTATGTACGAGTGTTCGGACGTGTGGGCACGGTCGTGTGTGCGCGCGTGATGATCGGGTGCGTGCGCGTGGTCTCGCGAGCAGCAGTGCCGGTGTCCGGTGAGACTAGAACGGATAACTTAGTGCAACTGCAGTGCCATGCACACGGACGGTGCAACAGGCTGGCATTGGGTGTACACTAGCGCCGCAACACGTCACGGGCGGATTACGAGAGCATAACACTGCCGCCGCCGCCGCCGCCGCCGCCGCGACGTCGTCCGGCTACGTTTAGCAACGCCGTTTCGGATTTATTGCCGTTATCGTTAAATCTTACACCACTCGCACGTGTGCTATCGTGTGTCATCGTGTCGTCTAGGATGTTATTTTCGTGTTTGTCTATCGATTTGTTTATCGTACGACGATGGCAAATATCCGAGTACAATACCGATTTTCGCGTTTTTTGTTCGCCGTACAATAACCAATAAGCGGGGCTAATATCATTTATAGCTCTAAAAATGTAATAAGCGCTGTAATGCGCTCTTATAAGCGCTTAAATGTGCACTGAAAATACATAAATATGCCAAAAAAAATATATCATGTTTAAAAATATTTTTTCCCTCTTATTATTAAAAAACATATCATGTAAAAAAAAAATAATTTTCACTTATTAAAAAAAACATATCGTTGCATAAAAAAAAATGTCAAACTCAAATAATTAAAACACCGATCGCGTTGATATATCATACAATTTTAAACCGTAAATGATGAATTAAAATGAATTAATTACAAATATAAATAATTAATACTACTCTCTCAAAAAAAAAAAAAAAATGCTACAAATTATGAGCCCTGGTAAAAAGCATAAGTTTTGGTAAGAACATTTGTGTTTATTTTGCACGGGCAGATATTTCCAAAACAATATAAGCCTTAACTATGAATTATGATGATGATATCGTGAGATGAAAAATTTGATAGTATTATAAAAGGTACGTAATAAAAATTGAAATAAAATAGAAGGGTGGGGTAATCAATGCATGACGCACTGTTATTGAAAGAGGGGAAGGGGAGTAAATTTTTTTAAACATTTGCTGACATAATTCAATTCTCCCAAAACTGGATATATAAACTGGTAGACTAATCGAATAATTTGAAAAAAATGTTTCATAAGATATAAGTATTCAATTAGGTATCTACATAATACATCTAGTGCTGATGTTATTAAACTTAAAATGAAATTTTCTTAATAAAAGACTGCAACAATTTATTTTTTATTGAACGTTGTGTATAAAATATTTAAAATTTGATTCTTGTAGAAAATCGTATCAATATATTCTGAAATTCCGTTACAACTCACTTAATGATAAATTCATAAGAATGCATTCATAAGAAATGGACTAAAACGACATATTCTGGTTGAGATCGAACCAACGCGTTGTATTTAAAATATTTAAGTAATTATAATACATTATTTTCTCGTCCGGACGACGGAAACACGGATGTCACGTAAACGGTCGCTTTATTGGCCCATCGATGAACGATATTATTTCTATGATGGAATAAATAAAAAATAGAAAACCCACCGGTTAAATTGGCAGGAAATATTTTTTTTCAATTTATTAAAAACGAATTTTACTATCACAGCACACCCAACGCACGTGCAAGTCGCTACTGCACCGCGCGTGTAATTTCCATAACCAATACGTCAGCGCTACCTGTCTATTTACTTGGCATGCACAATACGACCGCGGTCGGCTTCCGAATTAATTTCGTTACAATCGACAAAGAATTTTTTAGAATTTTAGGGAATACATTTTACAAAATGTTGCGGCAAGCATTTATGGAGTATGCATATGACTGTCGTTTTTTTTTTTTTTTTTTAAATGCAATGCAAATTAATTAACTCCATTATATCGTGTATCAGTGAAACGCGAAATTGAATTAACTTTCCGTAACGTGACTATTCGATGTTCGTTAAGAATAACGAATGTCTGCCGACAGAGTTATCCAGTGGAATAGCTACGATACATTGGTTAGGATATCTCTGCATTAGATATTCTAAAGTTCCTCGATAAATATTTACAGCCCCGTTGTGGGACTCCAATGATTCGTCAATCTTGTAAAATATATAATTGTAGTTATCAAATGATGTTTTTTTTTACTTAAATATAAAATATAGTAAACCAAATGTATATGCCTGATTATTGGACCAGCGTTGAAAAACGGTTGTCCGGATGACAGGCGGATATGACATGTACGACGCATTTGATATTGTTCCGATAATAAGTTACTCGCGCTAAGATGGTAATACGTCAATTAGTGTTCTGCGCGTTATCATCGACCGTCGACGTCATGAGGAGCTGTACCCCCCCTCCCCCGTCTTGCAATAATATATTATGTATGCAAGCCGATTTAGCTATAAAATTGAAAAGTGATAAGCTTGTATAAAGCAGCCATAACACTTCTTAAAGGGATACTTCCAAATAGCATAAATATTTTTAACTACGTTTTCACTACTAATCAACAAAAAAAACTTTAAATTGTTGGGTTTCTTGTAACTCGAAAAATAATTGCAGGGACTTGAGATGTTCACTGAATGCTTACATCACTGTTCGCTATGGATGGTTATATTATTTATAATAACAGTATTCAACAGAGATTTTTTTTTTTAGCTATTTAGAGAAATTGAAAATGTTGGGCTCCTTAGTTACTTCGATAAATTAATTTTGATGTGATAAAAAGTCTGAAGAAAGTTATTTAAATTTTTCATACATATTTTTTACTAATTAATGAAAAAAATTGAGATTCATTAAAAAAAAAAAAAAAAAAAAAAAAAATACAAACTGAATATTAAATTATGACAAAATAATAAAAACAATAAAGATTAATTAAATTTTTCATGCATAATTTTCTTTGCGTGCAATAGAATAAAAAAAAAAAATGAAAGTGTGCAAAAATGATAAATTAAGTTAAAAAATTTAATTTTATGTTATCAGATATTTCAAAGAATGTCCATCAAACAATTTTAGCTATTTAATTAAAGACATTTTTGAAATATTTAAAAGAAACGTTTTTAAAAGTTCAACCAAACTTATTAAGAAATTTGGTTCTTCAACCATATCAACTATTTTTAGAAATATAAACTGATCCATTCGACCGTTTTCGCTTATAACCGTTTTTTTTAAGAAAAATGGTACGTTTGTTTCGAATTTAAAAGACTGACACAACAATAAAATTAAATTAAATACCATTGACTCATACCTCACATCTCACTCTATCCTTTCGCCCTTTTCGTAATAGTAAATATGTTCATTCGTGCATAGATAAGTTTAGATAATAATACATATTAAGCAATAAGAAATATATTTTTTATCGATAGACGTACACGTGGTTACTAATTGACGTGCGAGGTAAACGTCATTTCCGCCACCGAATAGCGAATAGCACCTCTAAACAACGGACAAAACGGCACTCGATGATCGCCGAAACCGTTTGCCAATAGCCGATTTTCGTTTTCGCGTTAAAAGGATGCGCGGAACGTTCTGTTAGCGCCACCGCCACGTGCTTTCGGACGAGAACCGCATTGGATTGTTGTCCGTTTCTTGAGCAGTTCGCGACCAACGCGGGAGCGCAGAATTCGTCGCACGTCGAGTAGTACAATTTCCTCAGTCGTAATAACGCGGTTTACGTATCGTATTTGGACCGTGCCCAACGATAACGCGAGTACGTTCGATCGTTTAAACGTTAATACCGCCGTGAGAGAAAAATACTGATGCGCCATTGACATCATTATAATAAATATTTTCGATCCAGAGGGTAAGAACGGACTGGCAATATCTACGTACGGAGATGAGTGCGCCCAAAACCAGTTTCAAGTCAACCCGATGACCGCTATCGAATTTCGTCCGCTGCGACAGCCAAGTACACGTAGATTAGTTGCCGAAATAATATACTCGTGTCCCGTTACCGTTATCATTTACATTTTCTTTTATAATTTTTTTTTTTTCATAGCATACGTTTTCAAATCAATCAAAACGCATTACGGTACAAACCGCTGCGCAATACGAAAAAACAAACAAATGCTAATATGTATTTATGTATAAACAAACAGTTTGTATGTAGAAATAAATGTATAAACAAATTAATATTTTTTTTTTTTAAAGCTTAGCCTGCAGCATTATTGTAATTGTAAAATATGACCGGTTTCGAATTAAAAATTCATCATCAGGTGCGTACAAAGTTGATAATAACAAGACTCAACATATTGCCAGATAAATATGTGTTAACGAAATGTATTTATTTCTATTCTCTTTCGTCGATTTTGTACTCCCTACTACATTATTGCATATACTCGCATTTTGTTTGAAACGTGAAATATTAGTTTTAAACCCAATATAAATAGCCCAAGTAAATTAACGATTCGACAAGCGAAATATTATCGATAAACCGACTTGTACGATAACACCTAATAATAATATTTATCTTATCAATATTTTTTGTACATTTTCCATTCTTATTTTTAAGATCGTAACTATAACATTTGAGTTTCACGCATTTAACAAAGTATAAACATTTTCTTTTAAAAAAGGACAATAAAGGAAATATTATAGAACGA